GACACAACACTACTAACTCTTAAGTGTATCAGATCTACACGAGTTAGTAAACAAAGTAAATGAACTACGGAATGAATACTAAAAAGACCAAATCAGTGGTAATAACTAAGAACCAAGATGTACCTAGAATCAATCTAACTATAATCTAACTGAAAATATCAAAAATTTTATATATTTAGGACACATGAGCACTGAAGATGGTAAGAGCAAAGTGGAAATTCAAAGAAGAATAGAAATAGCCAGCAGTGCATTTAACAAGGTGTCAAAAATATTAACATCAAGAAAATTTACACTAGTCAAATGATATATATGGTCAACCCTACTATATGGTGCTGAAATTTGGATAATATCTAAAACAATTGCTAAAAAGATTGAAGCATTTGAAATGTGGATCTATAGAAGTGTATTGAAAATATCTAGGACAGAACATAATACAAATGAACAAGTATTAGAAATGATGAAAATTAAAAGAACACTATTATCAGTTTTCAAGAAAAAATGTCAATACTTTGGATATATACTTAGAATAAATGAAATACAAACACTGTTGCTAGAAGGAAAAATGAATGGGAAAAAGAGGAAGAGACAGACCAAGAAATATGTGGATGGATAACCTCAAAGATTGGATGGGAACATCACACAGTAACTGTGTGAGAATGGTGGAAAGAAGAGAACAATTGCTCTCCATGACAATCAACTTGCTTCTGAGCAAATGACACATGATGATGATCACTCTCTAAACAGTTAACTTATTTGATTTGACGGCAATTTTATCTTATTTGGTGAACACAATAAAAAACAAACAAAAAAATTCATGTTTACAAACACTACAAGTCAATAAAACTATAGCATATCTGTTATAAAGTAAAAACACTGCATTTAAACAGAGAACAAAACATCAACGAGGTAACGTTTTTGAGCCTTAAGCAATCTCCAACCATGTAACTTATTTTCCTCATATTGATGATATTCCCCTGCCTACGTAAACTACTTGTACCCTGATGATAAGGAAACCTTCTCCAAACATTGTATGTTTGTAACTGTATTAAAATCGTAATTAAAATCTTCTTTGTAACCCATTCAATCTATCACTAAACTGTATAAACTTACTTTAAGTTATCTGATGTCTTCTCATTGATGAAAATTTCTGTAGCTTCCAAACAGATATAATTTAAGAAACCACAATTCAACAACAACAATAAAAAAGTTTACAGAAACTGTAAAAAAAAAGTTCTTAAACCTATATATTTACTTATTAATATGTGAAAGACTAATTCTTGTTCTATCCAATTTTTACAGCTGTTTTCAAGACTGCGTTTCATTAGCAAACTAGTGGTACTCAGTTGAGCACAAACCTCTGTCAAGCAGCACTGATCATACTCGGCTCTCAAAAAAATACGTAAATATGTCCGTATGTCTGTCGTCATCAACGGGCACAAACCACTTGTGGCAGGACAATGAGGAATAATATTCTACATATGTCCACCATGTTTCATCAAAATCCGATCATTTTAACTGAGTTGTAGAGCAAAAATAGTGTGAAAATTCGGTCCCCATGTTAACGGATAAGGATGTTTTGGATCTTTGTGATCTTGGCCCTCCAAAAACAAATAATTTCTAAGTTGGGTTATAGTCGAAATGTATAGCAACTTTCGTCCAAATCCATTCAGCCGTTTTAGAGAAATCTTGATGACAAACACACATACACACAGGGGTGAAACTTACCCTCCGTCAACCTTCGATGGCGGAGGTAATGTTCAAACCATATGATTAGACACCATTACATGGTTTTAACCTAGGCCTATTTAAAAACTAGGAAAACACTTGAAAATAAAGAAATGGATAATATATTCTCAAGCGGTAAAAGGTTTTTAACAAAAAAGTTATTATTTGAAATGGACAGAAAACTTCTAAAAAATCGGCAAGTGGGTTGTTTTGTTTACAGGCAAAACTGTTTGAAGCTGCGCAGAAATGAAAATATAATTTTTTAACTTCGTATGTTACACCAAGCAAATATCAGAAAACGATAAATTGTTGATTCTAAAATATTTCTGACTTAAATTGTTTATATACAGTTCGAATTAACATGTAAAATTATGTTAAATTTTGTGTCAAGCTAGAGAAATCTTGTCTTCAAGTACAATAATTTAGGAATAAGTTATATTATTTATCCTAAGCTGTTGTACATGAAAATGTACAAATTTTAAAACCTAACAACATCACCAATAAAAAAAAAACACGTGAAAAATGAAGACACGAGATTTGACAAACAATAACGATGTTCATGAAAAAATAAAATAATGGCAAAGCTCGCTAGATGGAGATCTTGTGTTAAAATTTTTCAAACATATGATTTATGCATATTTCAAATTATATTAAACATTTTTAGAAATCCATACTCTCAGAAACTGTTGCTCAAAACAGGGGCGGTTTCCTTGCAATAGGAGGGTCCAACTAGACAGCACTACTGATAAATTTATATTGTTTTCATTGTTTACAGTTATTTTAGAGCAAAACCACTTCATTGTTTGCTTACAACTATACACTACTACAATGTAAAATTGATTAGAAAACTTACAAAAATCATTATGAGTAGCTCACTCGGGTTATAATATAGCAGTTTCAAAGCTTTTATCTTAGTTTCTAGCAATGTGATTTATATGAAAATAAAAGCAGTTAAAAACAAACATAAAATTTTGTAACAAAATTAAATAGCTATAATTATATTTAGAAAAATTTATAAAGTCTAAACCTAAATTTCTATTTTAGCGTTAGTAAATTGGATGCCAGTTTTCAAATTTTTATACACTTATCACTTATACAGGCATAGCACTTGCATTTTCACTTACTTTGGACGTAACAATCGAAAAACATTTCTCGCGAGTATTCTAATTTACAAAAAAAAATGAAAATTCGATTCTGTGACGTGTGCATTATAAGGTGAAGAAATCCAAATAATACTAGATGTACTTCCGCAGGCTCACCGAAAGTGTTCTAAGAGTAAATAAAACCAAAATTAAAAGTAAGACATTTTTTCTTGCTTTTGAAGTTCATATGTCATGCTGTGTGGTAGCCTACAGAGCGCATAGTTCTTCTCCTGAATCATGGCATGCGCACGATTTATTGACGTCACGAAAGTACAAATTACAACTTTAAGCGTCTCTTATGTAACACCATTTTAGTGTCTATTAACTGAATGACTTATAGACAACAACGGGAAAATAATCATACTTCACCAGCTTTTAAAAGGCGTTCACACCATAACAACCTGCTGTATATTACCGCTGTGTGTCAAGTTTAGAAAATATGATAACAGTTCTTATGGTAATCAATAGACCAATGAAATACAAATACTGACATCTAATATTTCTTTTGATACTATATGGTAGTAAAGTTGTTTGGCTGTTTTTTTTTTTAAATACTGAAAAAATGGGATGGGAGTTCGGTCCCCCTGGACCTCTCCCCTTGGTCAACGCCTGCTTATACAACATTCAAGGATAGAGTTACGCAATTATAGATTAGACACCTATCATACTGTAGAAAAAATTTCGTTTTACACTTTATTCAACACTTAAGTACCCAAAAGGTTGGCGGTGGGTGCTGCCAACTAGTTGCCTTCCCTCTGATTAGCAGTTTAAAATTAATGACAGTGGCAGATACTATTATAAACTTTATGAAAATGAAAACAGGAAGAGAAAGTTTAGTGCCAATGGGAACCGAGTGCGAGATCCTCAAGTTACGAGTGTCTCCAACCCTCACACCACAACCAACCTACCCATTATGTAACATCTTTTTAACAAACAAACATAATGGCAATATTTTAATTATTGGATAGTTGGAATAATCGGAGACTCAAATTTCGATTAGTTGATTATTTTCGTGACAATCTATTTAGTTGTAATTTCGATTGCTGGAATGATCAAAATCACCAAGTTCGAGATACTTAATCGATGTAATCGCTACTCATGGTAATCGATTAAACCGCTCAGCTCTAATCCTATACAATGTCTTTATTTTTTAATCTTAATCACTTTACTGATATTTCGGTATAAGGTGTAAATGTTACCATATTTGTTGTCAACTCTAATAGTTAACATTTCTATTATCATTAATTCAGCTTTAGTAAATAACACTTTTTCATTTTGTCATATACTACCTAATCTTAACTGACTGCCATTGAGAACTATCAATGTTTAATCATTACCAATGTAACCTTAGTTGCAGTTTCACTAAACTGTCAAAGCTAGCTGTGCTAATACTAGTATTAAAACTTGAAAAAGTAATACAACATCATAACAATACTAATGGATTTTTATCACATCTTTCTTTACTAACACTAATTGTAGTCCTAATTACATATGAATTGCCAATACCAAGAGCATATTTGCATTTCAAAGTCAACTGCACACTGAACACCGTGTAGGGATAGTAGAGAAAGATGTGATAAAAGTATTAATATGATTCTTATTGTAATATCGCACAAACTACCGATCAGCTGATCATCAGTCTCAGTCATAAAAGTTATTTTACACCGATATATATACCACCACCATCAATTTGACTCGGTATCTGTCTTTATTATGATTCCCACTTCTAGTTCTACTATAAGTATAACAAGTATAAGTTATAGTTCTACGAGTAATTATTAGTATTACAGTTTCTGAAAAGGCCTAACGTTAGCTATCAGTTACATCTACGTGCCCTCATATCAGATATTTATTACCTTCCCAAACAGCGCATCTTACAATTTGTTTGTTTTAAGATGAATTAATATCGACAAATAATACCTATCACTATCATATGAGGCCTGCGATTATAAAGCAACCAAGCCTAACGTCGTAAAGCGACTACGAATACAATGTAGCGTACGTAAATCTACAACTTACTTGTATAAATATAGTTCACAGCAAATTTTTAAAACAGTTATTAAATTTACGATATTTACATTTTCGTACATCATGCTTAATATCTATAAGACGATATAATTAAAAAAAACTTACTGTTTTTAAGTCTCCAATACTTCTGGTAAACAACGGCACACCACCGTCAGCCGTAAGCGCTAACAGGTGAGCTGCCATTTTCGTTCCCCTAGCTGAAGCATGCGCAGTACGCAAGTCCGCAGCGACTCCTGATCGCGGTCGTTTGCCCATGTTGCACGTGGTAATGTTTTGCTGATTTCAGAATTTGAACACACTTTTTTCTTTCTTTCTTTTTAAATCTGATTTTAACAATATCTTGTAATAGATAACAATTATTCTTGCTAAAAGAAAAATTCTGAAATGATTGACACAGCGTCCTATTGCTGTGTATAATTCAAGCAGTTAATCATGTCGGCAACAAAGCTAACACACTTCAAAATGCACTTAATATTTCTTCTTGTTTTTCAATCAGTAACAAAACTCCGAAGAAAGTGCTGTTGGAGTAGTACAGCATATTTGTAAAAATACGAGTGCACTTGTATGTCAGAATAAACCTATATTATTCAACCTACTGAAATAGGATCACTTAAATCAAAAATAGCTTCTTGTGGATAATATTGTTCAACACAACATAAGATATGTTTTAAGATGGTAAAGGTTCAGAAGAATAAAGTTGTATAGCTTAACACTAACTGGATTATTATGGTAGACTGAAATTGACTATCCCAGAAGCGCAGGCGTTTAAGGAGGAGCCGAATGGGATGGTCCGTGATTACTATTGGATGAATCTTAGGTGCGTGCTCGACCGCACTTGTGTAGCCAGTAAATCTAGTGGAACAAACATCAATTCTTCAATCTGATCGGGCTAATTCCCAACGGGTCGGATGGGAAAGCCACTTTGAAAAGCCATTTCCTGAAGCCTTATCTTATCTTGTGCTCAGCACTTATGACTTTATTGCTTATATAGTTCAAGCAAACCTGCAACAAAAATAGAGCAGATACGTGATGACATTGACACTGGATTGAAACTGGTTGTAATTCAAGAACAATGACAACTTTATTGGTTTACAACGTCATTTGGAGGGCAACATTAACTAACCTTGATTGAAACAATTGTGAACTTATATTACTTGGTCTTATCAGGATCGTTTTGTCACAATAAGCTACACTTAATCAAATTTATACAGTTCCGGTCCTTTTTTTTTTTTTTTGCTTAATTAGTGTTGTATTTATATCAAGTAATGAATGCACTACTATCCTGTGTAAGTATACATTCCTTTTATATTTCAAAATAGAATAATTAAATATAAACCATTCCAAATATTTCTGCTTTCGCTTTACAGAAATTTATTTGTATGTGATTTAGAAGCAACATGAATTTCAGACCTATAAACTAAAATGATGTCTCTATTTTAATTTATTTGGCTTTTTTCTAGAAAAAGACCCACAAATCAGCTGAAAACAGTGCAATTAAAAATAAATTATAAAGCTTTAGATTACTTCATGTTAATATGTGTAATATAATGTTCAAACACAGAATAATGTGCACAGAAATTAAGTTTAAAACTTGAAAGATGAAAGACGTATTAGTATGCTCGCTATTTAAGATTACATAATTTTTAACGACTTTTAAGTTTTCAAACCAAATTGTTTATTCAGTTTTTCATCGCTTGTGCTCTCTCTACTATGCCTTTCAAGCAAGTTAAACTTTGCTCCATGTTGTTTCTTTTGTTTTTCTTGTGATATAGTGTGATGTAATACGTACGTTTGTCTGTTTTAGAGCTATCTGCTGTGTTTACCGCGGGGAATCGAACACCAGATGTCAGTGTTGTAAGTCTGTTAAGTTACCGATATCCCACTGGGGGGAAATATGTATCTATTAAATACTAGTATATTCCTGTTAGAGTTATAAAGTTGATCAAATATATTTCTGTTTTTAACTATTTCAGAATTTTCTGTTGATGGTTAGTTTTTGTTTTTTTTTTGTTGTTGTTCTTGAAACTCACTCTGGTAATTTCTGTATATCTGCTGCTTTGAAAATAGTTATTATGTCTAACGGAGTAATGAATAACTACCAAAATTCGCTTTTTTTTTTGAAGATGTTTTGAACAATTATTTGTTCTTCGGTGGGTCAGCGGTATGTTTACAAAGCTGGAATGTGGGGGCTCGATTCCACACGGAGAACAGAGAATAGATGTATGTCTGTGTGTGTGTGTAGCTTTGCGATAATGAAACGAGATAATTGGTTTAACAGGATTTTCAAAATCTGACGTTTGTATTGCGTATATTTTATAAACTTGGCCTGTATAAATACCACTGATTTTGCCAGAGAACAAAAATTATAAGAAAGTTACTAATACTATTTTTGCGGTAATAATGTTGATTAATGACGATACTTTAAACTAATCTATAAAAAAGTTGTATCGGATGTTAAACCGTGAAATGGTCGTTTAAAGACAAATTTAAAAGTGCACATGTTTATACATTATTTAAGCTTGATACTGCACTGTAAAGAAATAAGTAATAACGTCGAAGAAAACGTTAACACTACATACGTTACCTGTACTGTTACGCCTGATTTTTTTGCTTGTACAAAATAATATTTATATGCAAATTTATTGTGTGAATATAATATATAACTGCTAAGTCAGTGATGAGAAATCGGACTTATATATTGACAAATAAACTAGACGTGTTCAAAAATATTAAAATAAGTGCTGTTTTAAATACTTCAGTTCATAACATTGCCACTTTTTTTAATTAAGTCTACAACTTTCTTGAAACATAAGTATTATGTAAGAGCATCTGTTGAAACTAGTGTCATCTAGTGAGCAATTTGTAAATCATTACAAAAATAGTATATCGATATCCCCGTAAAACACAGTCTCAAAATTATAATAGAAAGGAAAAATGAATGATTATTATTAAACTTACAAAACATCATATCTGCTTTTTTACAAGTAAAAAATAATTAAAGTAATTTTGAAACATTTATAAACTAACAATAATGACGCAGTGGATATCATGTTTTGAAGTATGTTCTGTTTAGTTTCTGTTTGATAGTTGTTTTGGTTGTGTCGGAGTATTAAATTTTTCTCTGATAATGCTGCGTATGAATATATATATATATATTACTTTGAGATATTAACAGCTGGGTATGATGCTTTTAGAGTTTACGTGTCCATTGAAGGGTCAGTAATAAGTTCTAGAAATTACGAAAGTAAAATCCGTCGTTCGATTCCCACGGTGAACAGAGTGTCTATAGTCAATTGTATAGCTTTGTTGTAAAGCAAACAAATAAAAGAGCTTACACATGACACCAGAGACTGAAAACCATGAAGCAGTTTATTATTGTTTCTCCTGGTACGTTTTAGAATTTCGAATAGTCCGAAGCCGAGTTAATTGATAATTTAAATATTTAGTAGTTAAACTGTACTTTGGATTTAGTATTTAAATATATAGCGATATATTAGTCAAGTTACGACATTTGCCAACAAGATTGATACACACCGTCTTCGTTTTTTAACACAAATACGTTTTAATATACACACAACAGTATAATTTACAATAACAATTATTACAAATAGTTACTACAAACAATGATTTATAAACAGAAGTTTCACAAACTTACAAACAATATAAAGTCTTCTTTCTAGTCTGGAACCTCCCTGATATCTTATCGAGGATTCACGATGAGCGAGTTAATTACGAGTTGATGTAGAAACGATCCGCTGGGAAGCTAGCTAGCTTTGTCCTTGGCTACACACGCTAGGTTGTCCACGATGAATTTATATGTCTTCGTAATGTGTGATGAGAATCCACTGAAGTTAAATTATTTGTAACATTCGAAATTTATAAATATTCCTGGTCAGATATCTTAAGTTTTCCGATTGATGAGCGTTATAACAATCACAGTTATAGCTTTCGAAGTTTTATAGCACACCGATATATAGCGAACTAATAATAGACACTCTCTTTTTGGCGCGTCGCGTTGAATATATTTATAACCTGTGTGGAGGCGTTCTAAAAATTTCAGTCTTATGTAACAATGCAAGTTACATTTTAAAGTTTACGTATATACATATATTGTTGATTCGTACTCTCGAGAATCTTCTACAACTTTGGAGAATAAGGGGAGTTTCGCAATACCTATCTAACACTATAAGTTATGTATGTTTCTAAATATAAACTTAATCTAAACAACGTTTATATTGAAATAAATATATAGCAACAAATTCGTTACAACTCCATCCTTAGAGAATTAAGAATTGGCTTTAGACAATTTTTTAACTAAAATATTATATATATATAAACATTGACAACAATACATTAAATATAATACATTATTCAAAGGAGTATACAACTTCAATAATCATAACAATATAAAATACAACCAATACAAATAACCTTATGATCATAAAAGTTCATAGTACATGAAAGTAAATCGGGAAAAATGTTATCAACCCTTACAACATGAATTATCTCCAAACCGTATTCTCATAGTGATAAACTGCAATTTAACAGCCTTATGTTTTGTGTGTGTGTGTGTTTTCTTTTTTCCTTTCTCTCTTTTTCTGTTTCTTTCTTTCTCTGTTTATTTTTTCTGCCGTTTTCTTTTCCATGTCTTTGTTCTTCCCTTTTTCTTTCTTTTTCTTTCTATTTTTTATTTTCTTTCTCTCTTTCTGCTTTTCTTTCTCTCTTTCTGCTTTTCTTTTTCTTTCTTTCTGTCTTTTTCCTTTTCCTTGTCTTCTCTTTCTTTTTCTTTCTATGGTTGGACTTTCCGACCAACTGACAGGTATTACATGCTTTTCTTGTTTATTGTTTATTTGTAATTAAGCACAAAGTTACACAATAGGCTATCTGTGCTCTGCCCACCACGGGTATCGAAACCCGGATTCTAGCGTTGTAAGTCCGCAGACATACCGCTGTGCCACTGGGGGCGACATGCTTTGCAAAACTGATAAATGTCTTGCCTAATTTTGGCCAAAAGAAATATCTCATAATTTTGTCACGTCTTTTTCAAACCTAAATGATCTCTCATGGGAATTTCATGGGCATCTTTCAGTATTTCTGAACGATATGCTTTGGGAACAACGATTTGGTAAACTATAGCCCAGTCCTCTGAAGCTGGCACATCTGGGGGACTCCATTTTTGAAAAAATAACCATTTGTCATTTTCCCCAGTTCTTCTTTTGGGAGTGCATGTTTAAATGGTGAAGTGATCTGCAAATATTTTTCTT